GACGTGCAACCCAGCAGCATGGTCTCGCTGTGCCTGCCGCTACAAAGCTTGCACAAACTACTTCCCAGTACTACTTCCTACTACAAAGCTTGCACAAAGTACTTCCCAATACTACTTCGTATTACAAAGCTTGCACAAAGGACTTCCCAATACTACTTCGTACTACAAAGCTCGCACAAAGTACTTCCCAGCACTTACTTCGTACTACAAAGCTTGCACAAAGTACTTCCCAGTACTACTTTGTACTACAAAGCTTGCATAAAGCACTTCCCTCTATGACTTCGTACTACAAAGCTTGCGTAAAGTACTCCCCTCTATGACTTCGTACTACAAAGCTTGCACACACTACTTCCCAGCACTAGTTCGTACTACAAAGCTTGCAAAAAGTACTTCCCAGTACTACTTTGTACTACAAAGCTTGCATAAAGTACGTCCCTCTATGACTTCGTACTACAAAGCTTGCACAAAGTACTTCCCAGCACTGCTTCGTACTACAAAGCTTGCACAAAGTAATTACTTCCCAGTGCCACTTCGTACGACAACATCACCTTGGCGACACGTTGACGCAGCCATTCCAATGCTAAGCCTGGATCACCAAACACAATGGCACAGCGCATTGAATATTTCAAAGATCACCTCCGTGCAGCGCTGACATTGGGGACGACTCGAGCGCCAAACCAAGTAGAAGCCGCACCCGTCGCACAAACGAAGTTCCCTCCATCGACACCGGGAGCCGCTTTAACACCGGGAGCCGCTTTATGCGAGAAAACACGGGGTTTCGTGTGGTTTCTAACACCCAAACATCACCTTGACACAGCAGTCCTACTGCGATCTGCAATCAGTGCCATGCAAATCACACTACAACTGCCTCGACCACCTCTCTACTCTGCACCTTTCTGCTCTCTTCGCATCTGGACTCTCCCACATCTCTACTCTCTCACATCCCTACTCTCTCCATATCTGCTCTCTCCTCATCCCTACTCTCTCCATCCCTTATCTATCCACATCCCCCTACTCTCTCCATCTCGAATCTTTCCTCATCCCTACTCTCTCCATCTCTAATCTTTCCTCATTATACTCTCTCCATTTCTAATCTCTCCACATCCCAACTGTCTCCATCTCTTATCTCTCCACATCCCTACTCTCTCCATCTCTAATCTCTCCACATATCTACTCGCTCCACTTGTAATCTGTGATTATTTCTTGTTATAATTTTTATTTGTTCCTCTTGACCATACTTTCCGTATAACGGAGTTTATATAGACTTCTAAATTTCCTTTGAGCCAACTAGGATGAGATTCCATGGGTTGGTTGAACATCAACAAACGTGTAATAGGCATATCATGGGGAATGATAAGGGAATCATAGGGATATAGCCGCGTGATAATTGGGTGTACATGATGTTTCTACGTGAATTATAGTAGTCCACTCGTTAGAAGTTCGGCCATTTTGGGATACCTATACTTCCCTACTAATTAACCATCATTCTAGTGACGTCACGCAGGTGTTGCTTACCCGAATGAATCGGTTTCAGGAAAATGTTCCTCCAATTCTGGGATGGATGGGAGCAGCCATTTTTGTTTTTTGAAAGATCTGAATTGACCCCATGGATCATGGATTTCAATCAAACATGTGACACACTCATCCGCCCACAAAATTTCAAATGTGTCCATGTTTTCTCGATTTTTGCCAAGTTTCAGCAAAATCAGAAAGCCCATGGCCAGGGTGGTCATGCGCCCGCCCAAGGTTTGCGCATGAAAATCATGGGCGTTGCTTGCGAAGAGCCCATTGAAGCCGATGTAAATGGCCTCCACCACGGCTGCTGGGAGGCTGACTTCGGCGAACAGGCCCCGGCTGCCTTCGGGGACCCCAGGACCGTAACGCTCCTGGCAAATGCCGGATTGATGGTGGTGATTGGGGCATGGTGCCAAGCATTTTTTGATTATGGGATGTTAGATATCTATGGGTATTCCAAGAAATTTCTAGGAGATTCGCTGAGAAGAAGAGATGTGAACCAATTCATATAGGAATACACTGACCGGTCGGCTAGCCTCTGGGCGTAAGAGCTCTTTGTAAATACCTTGGGGTTCTTTCTTGATACGCCAGAGCTATTGGTAAGTTTCCCAGAATCATTTCAAAAACTATACCATCTATACTATACCCAATTGCTTCCAACAAGTATGGGATGCGTTCTCAAAACAATCCTTCCACAGCCTGAAACCCAAAGTCCTGGACCATCACCAGTAGGGAAGCGACAAAGAGGAAAGCAAGGACACAGAGCCATACACGCGCAGTTAAGGGCGAAAATGCCTTGGTGATGTTTTGAAGAAACCCGTTGGACTGCGCCTTAGGCGCGATCAAATACACGGGCTCGGCCCAGAGATCCAGGTTCAGGGAAAGCAAATCTCGGGCTGGCGTGGCAGTAAAGGCACCAACACAAATATCGACAAAGCCCATGCCTGTGGCATACGCACAAGCTGTAAAGGCACTTGTCTGCTGATCACGGTTCACTTGATCGATGACCTGTTCCGGATATGCACCAGGATAATTGGCTAAGGGGCCACCATAGAAGGTCATCGACACGTTCGGCACAGAGCCTGTCCTTTGGATCACATCGTTCACCAAAGACCATGTTGGTCCAGAGCAGCCTTCATTTCTGTCGCAGTACGAACCTTTCCAGCCACCAGAGTTGGTCATGAAAACCACGTTGATCGTTTGCCCTTGGAAAGTGCGACCTTCCACATATTCCTTACATTTGCGATCCAAGGGGGGCAGAAAATTCACTTAAAACATCGTCCCAATAGATTGCCCAAATGCTGAATTAACCATATTACCCCTAAATATCCCTGTGGATGTAACCATACCAGTATCTACCCCGTGGCAAAAAAAGAATGCCAATGACAATCATGTTTCATCATGTTCTCCAAGATTCAGAGGTGAACCGGTCTAGGTAGCCACATTGGGAGTAGGAGTAGAAGCGGCCCACCCTGTAGGACGAGCTTTTTGAAGCTAGGGTGCAACTGGGGGCGACGTAGCACCATGCATCGCCGCACCATTTCTCGGGCTCACTGGAAGCACAGGCTGTGAAGGGACCTGATGTTTTCCAAACAAGTCGCAAAATGACTTAGACTTAAACCCCTCAAAAAAATATGGTCCGAACCCTCGTCATCTTGTCGAACAACCATCTTACAGTTTGCATCTATATAATTATTTCCGACCACAATGCGGCCTAGAGTCTTACCAAATGAAGGTTTACCCTTCATCAAGTTCTTGAAAAACATGGGTTGTTTTAATTTTGTGGGGAAAATGTTTGAACTCCAAACATCCAATTTTGTGTCATCGGTTTCCCGATCACACTTGCCATTCAGTGGTGCAACTCCTTCGCGGCCAAGCCGCCATCCAGGTCATGTGTGCCGCAGCCGATGCCGTAGCTGAGATTGGTCTGATTCCTGCAAGAGGTATTAGCATGTATCAGTCAAAAATTCTGGCCTAGACCCTATGCAACAACAGATATTGGTCATGTTCTAATCTTACAATATAGTACCTGAAATCTTCAGCATCCAAGTTTTGGGGCGCCCAAAAAATTGAGCCATAGCAAATTGGTGTCCAGGACATCCCAGGACCATTGGAATCAATGTCGGCTCGCAAAATCCATGGAGCATGTGGCTAAAAAATTGCACTCCAGGGGAAGGGCCAACCACGAAGTGACCTGCGGTTGCTGTCATCCTTTGTGATTACTTGATGGGGTCTAGCTGGTAAGACATCTTAAGACCCAAAGATCCCAAAGATCCTCCTGAATTGGGCTGCCATGCCGATTTCTCTGAAAATCGGGACTGCAAAATCTCGATGAAAATCCCATGGTTCATCATTTTCCTGCATCAGGCTGCCTTATCCCAGGTTGGGGTACCTCAGTCTTGGATGTGCCACCCGCACTCCTGCTAAGGCCCTCGATCTCGCGATTGAAGCTATCGTCCTTCCCTTCAGCATAGGACAAGCAGCGGCAACTCAGGGCCGCCACTGTGTCGCAGGCGAGGACCAAGAAACATCGCCAAAACATGGCTGGAAAGATTGATGCCAAATGGGGACCGTAGGAAATTATAATAAATTATTGGGCATGTGATATGTTGAAATTATATGAACTGATTGGGTGATGGTTAAGATCTCGCATTTGCAAACATGTTTGCATGATTTGTGTTTCAATCAGTTTACTAAATAGATCATCGCTTTCGAAGTTGTTCGCCAGGGCAGCTTTGTCCCTGCACTCTTGAGGGGTGGACACAGGGCAGATGGTCAATGACCGTGGTATACCGTGGTCAAGCTGTCAACTTGTGCCAACGTCCAGCCAAATGAAACACATAGTGCATCATTTATACTACTACGATCTACTACGTTTTGGCTTGCCACGGTAGAAAAATATTTGATCTGGTTTATGATGTTTTTTCTACGTGTTGTCAGCACGGGGCCGAAGAGGATAGCAAAGATGGAAGGCGAAATTCATCAAGAATATATTATATAATCCATCCCTTACCCCAAACTTCCTAGAAACCATGGTTCACTATTGGATCCTTTCGATTCTGGGCCGAAAAGACCCGCTATGTGTTTTTTATATAGATGTTTTTTTGTTGGTGCTATTGACAAGTCTGAACCAAACAAAAATACATGGACTGTGCATGGTCCCTTGCCCTGCAGCGCACTGGCTTCAACTGGACCCTCGTGCCATGCCCTGGCAGGATCAGCAGCTCCCACGATGTTCTCATCAGAATCGTAACGCACGAGGGATGCCATTCCCCCGACAGATTTTCGGGTGGTATTCAAGGGCAAAGGATCCCAAGGAACAAACGTACTTGGAGGATAATCCCACTTAAATGACTGGGCGAAAAAACTCCAGGTAATAAGATGCAATAAGTTCCCTAAGTGGGTTAACTATAGTCACTTTTCCAAATTGGGATCATCTTCTAAGTAGGAACGAACATTGCAAGGAACTCTACGCGGCTCCCGGCCGGTGAGCTTGGTGCTGGCACTGGAAAATGGTTCCAGCATGGCCATGATCAAAACATGGTCTGTTTGGTCATTCCATAATGGATGACAATCCTCTACTACGGGGCAATTACTCATAAATAATCATCAAAACCTATATCCTGTGGCAAACTCAATCATAAAATATCTTAAGCCATCCCCATGTTCGTTTCTTATTGGGCTTACCACAGCGATCCAACTTTTGACCATGGCATGCTTTGCCGGCACAGGAACAGAACTCCAACCGAACAAATGCACTCACGGTTGAGGTTCACCGATCGCGCCCCTTGGACTAAAACATTGCGACCAACGAAAGCCCAACTTTTAATCCCCGTTTGGAAATTTCAGATATGTGAGTACATATATCCAAACAAGCATTTATATATACATATCCCCATGGACAACTCTACTTTTAGAGGGGGGGGATGGTAATACATTAAAATTACTAAGTAGGGCTATGAGTATGGTTAAATGATAGGGTTTCGCGCTTCATCCCAGAGCAGCAAAAGGGGGCAAACATGGGTTTCAATCCAGCGTGTCCTTATTCCATACCTATGCCACAAGAGTCGGGCCCCGAACTTCAGGCCCCGAACAGGGTGCCCCCAAGCAACTTTGTAGCAAAGGCATGTACGCAGAAGCACATGTAAGTGAATTCTGATGATGTAATCAAATGTTTTTTGGCATACCTGTGCCACAAGAGTCGGGCCCCGAACTTCGGGCCCCGAACTTCGGGCCCCGAACAGAGTGCCCCCAGGCAACTTTGTAGCAAAGGCATGTAGAAGCACATGTATGTGAACTCTGATGATGCAATCAAATGTTTTTTTGGCATACCTGTGCCACAAGAGTCGGGCCCCGAACTTCAGGCCCCGAACTTCGGGCCCCGAACTTCGGGCCCCGAACAGAGTGCCCCCAGGCAACTTTGTAGCAAAGGCATGTAGAAGCACATGTATGTGAACTCTGATGATGTAATCAAATGTTTTTCGGCATACCTGTGCCATAAGAGTCGGGCCCCGAACTTCGGGCCCCGAACTTCGGGCCCCGAACTTCGGGCCCCGAACAGAGTGCCCCCCAGGCAACTTTGTAGCAAAGGCATGTACGCAGAAGCACATGTAAGTGAATTCTGATGATGTAATCAAATGTTTTTCGGCATACCTGTGCCACAAGAGTCGGGCCCCGAACTTCGGGCCCCGAACTTCGGGCCCCGAACTTCGGGCCCCGAACAGAGTGCCCCCCAGGCAACTTTGTAGCAAAGACATGTGCAAGACTACGTATGTGAGCTTTGATGTGCTGACTCTCATTTCAGATGCCTTTGAGCATATCACCCAGGCATGAAGATGCCCGAGCAAACAAACGTTATCGTTTGAGCGAAGATCAATTCAAGAAGATTGCTTTGTATGATGGCCTGGTCCAGGATGATGATATATTTCCAATGTTTCGGCGGGTGCGACAATGTTCTTCTATGGTGTCTCCCACAAGGACCATCCTTGAATGCTAGATGACATTAAATGACTGCCTTTAGTTATGGACTAGCTTTGCCTTGGCTAAATCCTGAGGATTTAAACGAGGCAGAGGGAAATATGGCGAGGCAACCTGTGTTGACTTGCTGAAAAGAGGCCTGCCTTGCTTAAATCCTCAGGATTTAAACGAGGCAAACTTTTCCCTTCCAGACTTTGAGGCGAAAAGTTTGCCTCGTTTAAATCCTGAGGATTTAAGCAAGGCAGGCCTCTTTTCAGCAAGTCAACACAGGTTGCCTCGCCATATTTCCCTCTGCCTCGTTTAAATCCTCAGGATTTAGCCAAGGCAAAGCTAGTCCATAACTAAAGGCAGTCATTTAATGTCATCTAGCATTCAAGGATGGTCCTTGTGGGAGACACCATAGAAGGACTAACAGCATTCAAGGATAGTCTCTGTGGGATTTGCCCAGATAGAAGGACATTGGCAATTGATTTAGGATTCTATCATCATCCCTGTCGGAGAAAGCCATTGTCAATTGATTCAATTCAAGGATAATCCTGGTAGGAGAAAACCATTGTCATTCCTACAGGTACTGACGTCCCGGGCGCCTTGTAGCTCACCTTTCAGAAGGGACACCAAAGGGGGCTGTGCCTTGCACGCCCTTCACTACTTTCTGACATGGCAATCAGGATCCGGGCCAAGTACCAAACCCGAGGGAAGGCGGAAGCAATGTGGCTAGGGTTGAAAGAAGCTGCATCATCATGCATCTCTGAATTCGGATCACTTCCCCGCTTTCTTGACGACTTGGATCTTCTTTCTTCTCTGACTCTCTCTTCTCTGACACTCTCTCTTCTGACTGCAGGATGAGACTTTGAATGGTGAAGAGCTGATTCCCATTTCCGTCTGGGAGATTGACAGTAAAGTTCTTGTTGCTTCCAGAGCACAGAGCCCGAGACGGAGCGGAAGGCTTGAGGGAAGAGGAGCAGTGGTACCCGGCAACCCGGCGACCCGGCGACCCGGCAACCCGGCGACCCGGCAACCCGGCAACCTATAATAGAAAACGAGGAGAAAGAATAGAGTAGAGGAGAGAGAAAGAGAGCAGAGAGGATAGAGTAACATAGAGAAACAAAAGAGGCTGAGAGGAAAGAAATGGAATGAAATGGAAAGAGAAAAGGGGTTAAAAAGACATAAAAAGACTACAGGGAACAAAAAGAGAAAACAGGAAACAAAAGATAATGAAAGAAGAGGAAAAGATAGAGAATGCAAGAGTAAAGCGGAGGAACCCGGCAACAGAGGAAAAGATCATGTTAAATATACCATACCAAAAGAAACCTTACATTTCCTCAGGTTTCCCAAATTGATGTATTATCACATGGGGGTACACCCCCCCTCCAATACAAAAGTTAAGTCACGGGGATATATACATACAAACACACCAGTATATATTATTTGCACATACACATACCTATGT